GTTAGTTTTTGAGTAAATTTACATGTTCGGAAGATATTCCGTTTTTCCAAAAACGCAACAACTTGTACGAGATTTCGTTTCATTGTATTTGTGATTTGGACAATTTTACAATGAGTCAATGCAACCAACGATGTACGGATTGGGTATATATCGTTTTCTCGAGGGACAGAATTTTCTTGGTTATAGGCATGTGAGCAACTCGTACGATTTATTTAATTAACCGAGGCAAAATATGCGCGCGAATAATAACGAGAAGATATTGACGATGGTAAAAATAGCAAGACCCTACGAGAAATGAGAATGCATCCTAAACCTCTCGCAATGCCATGGTAATCGGCTGTTTAACTCGTGCACAAAACACATTTTTGTTATTGTAAACGCATTTTTCGTTATCGTAAGATGAGTATTATCGTATGTTGCGTATCCGGCAGAATGGGATCAGTTTAACGTTAGGGAGTTAAGCGTGTCCGTTTGAACATAGATTCTAGACGTCCATCCGGATGAAATGATCCGACGAGTTACCATTTCCTTAAATTTACGTCGGTTTATCGCGATTACATTTCTCAACGAGATGGATGTATTGTATTTGCGATGGACTCGATTGATGAGAACTCTTTAACTCGGGAGGGAAACAGTGATAATCTATTAAAAGATGAGATAATATAAGTGTAAGCGGGTATAATTGAATAGCTGTAGCCATTGGACTACCTATAGCGTTTTAAAACGCAACAGAAATCAATAGTACATTATGCTAAGTCGTACAAGATTATCGGAAGTTTATATATATATATATATATATATATATATATATATATATATATATATATATGTAAACAGATATATATGTAATGTTCATTATACGTGCGTCGATGTTTTTCCGATCGTTTAGTTGCAACGATGCACGCCTCTCGCATCGCTGATTCTTACGATATCAAACGGATTAAACGGGATGGGGGATTGAGGCTGGGCTACCTGAAGATTCTTACGATTTGATGCACAATGTTCGATAGACTTTTAAGGTATCGGCGGCGATGCGTAGGCGTGAATTTTTCCAAACGCTTATATAGTCGAAGAGCGAAACGTTTTACGAATAATCGGCCTGCGAGGAGAGCCTGTTCTTCGATTGATCAGGTTTTGCGTGTATCGCGGCGATATCGAGCCGCGCGGGCTGCGTTTTCGATTGTTCGTACTTATGGTTTTGCCGCAAAACATTCTGGTTTCGCGCTATCGGCTGACATTTTCCTTGGAGCGCGAACTTGGTATGCGAAAATCCTCCGGGAATATCTCGAGTCGGTTTTCGGCTCGCGCAATGCATTTCCTTCGAATAATTTCTCTCTCCGAGCGCCGTGTCATATAGATATTATTACGTATAATTCACTTGGGACGAGTGTCGTTTCGTCCTCTTCCTATTCCTGTAATATGCATAATGCGTACGCGGGTACCACTAGAATGTCTTCGAGAGACGTAATCGTCTGAATGTATTTGCTATCTTGTGCCAGCGTACACGCGTTCGCACATTATGTCTATTACACACGTACCTAACGTATGATGTAAGTGTAAGAGATAACTATAAGTTACGAGAAAGATATTATATTCATGTTGATATATTATGTGTTGTTGCTGTTGATGTTGTTAATAGTAGAGTAGCGAAAGGATGGCAGTATACTAGTATAGTCGTTCATAGAGTTAATACGAGGCAAATTTTTGTGTTATTTATAATACGTGATGAATATACGTCGCGCAATCCGCACGAAAATCAATTGCGAAACACGCTGTATCGTATCGGGGCGCCGTATATCGCGAAGCTTGCCAAAATCGACATATGTTCCCACGACGAAGCGAAGCGGTCGCAGCTGATCGAGCGATGGCGATTCGTGCGAATTGCGCGCATCTTTTATTGGCATCGATCAAAAGAGACACGACAACGGGTACAGATCCATACCATTGTAAAATTGTGGGAAATTTTGAAAACGGCCTATCGACGGTTCGGAACGTCGTTCACACGTTTCTTTTGAAATCCACTTGTTGGATCTTTGAACGGACGTGTTCAGTGTTTTCTTTCGGGGAATTTCGCTGATCGCTTTCGTGTACAGGCGAGCATCTCGCGCGAACAAAACGGCAACCGACAAAATTCAACCATGATCGTATCTGGTCTTACGTCATTACATCTGCGCTTGGCATCGTTTTTTCTATAATTAACAGTACAATTGTCCGGCTTCTGTGTAACAAGGATCCTTTGCGAAACAACGATTCTTCGTACCTGACTCGATTCTTCTATCTGTCCATATCCCCTATGGGCTTATTCTACAGAACCGCCGAGTACGACGAGAAAAACACGAGCAGGGAAACCTTGCACGCGAGAACAAAACACGCTCTGCGATTGTATTCAAGTGTCAAGCTTTGCGAGTGTTTTTCTGGTCGTTAAGCCTGTCAATTTCTCGATACTTCGAACGCTATTCAATGTTCAATGTGACTTTTTTCATTCTATCGAACTGGTTCGTTTCGCTTCTTACATTCTTCTCTCGATGGTTATTTTTTTTCTCTCGCGTGGTCTCTCCCGATTTACCGGGCAGAGTCGATATTTATTGTCGATATATATGTACACGTACATACGTAGGTATTCGCGTCTTGCCACAAATATGTGTCGTCATGATTATTCTTGCCTCCTGTTTTAAAAGGATTTTCCATTCGTTCGATGTGGGGACGCGAAGCAACGCGATCACCACGGCTGTTTGTCTCTTTCTCTCTTTGAAACGGGTTGGTTGGCTCGCCGATATTTTGTTCTCATTTACCCGTATCCTTTGGAAAGCTATTCGAGCTAAATTTATTGTTCCCTTCGTATCGCGTAAGAAGCAGCGGTATCGATCGCTATGGAATATTTACGGACGATTAATAACGCTCCGATCCGTTTGCGGCGTGGAGGCGCGTAGCACAACCGCGTTTTTCTTCCGCAAATTAGAACGACAGGTCGTGTGTCGCGCGTAGTTTGTTTTCCCTCGGGGGTTGCTTCCTCGCCGCGACGGGGCACGGTCGATTTCTTTCGTCACGCAACACACCGAGAAAATGAAGGGTTTCGTCGTTTGGTCACGTCTACCACTCGGCTAACCCTCACCTCGTCGCCCTTTATTCTTAATTGTCCGTGCAAAACTGTGCGTACCTATTAACCGTAATTTATGTTAGATCGGCCAAGGGAGGATTACGTATACAATGTTCTCAAGATTTTCTCCAGATATTCAAACTACTTTATATCGTTGCCGCGCGCCAATTGATTCAACGCGGCAATTTAATTTCCCGCGGAGAGTTACCTTTTTTTTTTTTTTCGTAGCCTGCGTGTTACGCGTACAAACACGCAGCTGCTACGGTCGGACGATAATTTCTATTCCCTTCCGCCCCTAATTTCCGAATAATACACCGAGAGGCTGAAACTAGCTTGGCTCCGTCGCTTTCGGATCGATTTTTCATCTCAGCGATTTTGAATCTCATTCCGAAGATCTTTGATTGTAAAAATGAATTTAATACTCAGTCGTAAATACGAAAACTATCAGTAATACCAGATCGATGCTGACTTGCTCGCGCGCTATTCTTCCGTATATTCGACGTACCACGGTTTCCCTTACGGTTGCAATCGGAAAATTCTACGATACTCACAAAGTGTGTTACTGTTGATTACGATGGTGATGTAGATTCGATAGGCATTTGAAGAAATTGGCACGTGAGAGTATAAAACAACGGTGGATTGCAGCGATTCAAAAATGATCTCCGAGCTACGTGTTGATTCGCACGAACATGTTCCGTTATCTTCGCTCTTTCTTATATAAATGTATTCTACGTTTGTTCGGCACGATGTCAGTGTGTCTCCCCTACGATCTATGAACTTGTCATTGGAGAATTTCGCTTGACACGACATGCCGCGTGCACCTTCCTCCGTTTCTTGCTAGTTGTTCCACGCGACGATCGATTCGTCGCGATGAGAAATTTGCGCAGATCTTCCCGTAACGATAAGAATTTTTTGAGCTGTTTTTTTACATATGTGTATACTACTTCCGTCTTTATGTCAAGTCGTGCGTTACCGCGACTTATCGCGATTTATCGTTCCCACTTCGGACTGTTTTCCTATATTTCGCGATATTTTTTCGATTTCGACGCATTTACATTGTTTCTCGCTTGAACGTACATAAGTCCGTGTCCTAGGTGTAAAGGCGAATATTAGGGACAACGTCGTCGACACACACGCTGGACGTTGAAAATTTTCACGCGGCGCTGATCTCTTTGTCCGTGAACGGTCAATCTCTGAATTGCTTCCATTTCAAGTATTTTGGTACTGTTCTCGTCGAGTGATCCGCGACCGTTGCTCTCTCGAGAAAACCGAGTAGTATATCCACGCGACGAGTCGAACGCCTTTACCGAATGGCGTGATATTCCTGAAACGATTCGCGCCGCGTTGATATTCTTCTCGCTTCTACTAAGATAAATTAAATATATATATTCGAACTTGAAGGTGACGTCAGAGTAACGAAATAATCAATGTCGACGGTTTTCAAACTGACTTATGAACTTGAATGTATTTTCTAGGAACAAGCGTTAGTAAAAATTGTTATTTCCTTGTATGGATACCGTAAAAACCGTAAACACCGTAAAACAACAAAAAGAAGAAAAAAAAAAAAATAACTAAGAAATCCACTTGTACCCGTACGACGATATATGAATTTTAACGATATTCTATAAATGGCTGTACCGTATTGTAAAATCAAAGATATAGTGTACAATAAATATTAGTGTAGTAGAAACGGCGTGTACGTCGTTCTTTGTTGTTTGTCTTCACTCGCTTCCCCCTTTAACGTCCCCCCCCCCCCTGTCGCACGATGATTTTTACGTAATGAAACGTAGAATCAATGACAAAAGTTATAGCATTTATTTTTTATTAACGACGTCATTACACAACGATGAAGTATCGATCGCTTCTGCGACCAATTCGTCGACCAAAATTTTTAATGAATTTCTCAACACGTGCCGGAGGGCTTCTTTACGTATGCGACAAGAATGTGATATTTATCCAAGATACTGTACTCTTCTTGACCGTCGTCGTTCTTTCTCGGGATTAAAGTCTTCCGACTCGTTATTTCATGCAGTAGCACATCCTTAAACTCCTCTTTGAGATGATCAGGGATCCGCGAAATGAAGGGATTAACCGCTATCACATGACCTGCAACAATAATCGACCCGCTTTTACAACATGTAACCTCCTTTCACCCTATATTTCCGTCGCCGTTGCTCTTGATCCCGGCTATTCAAAAACGTTTTCTTTTTTGCTCTTTATTAACGAACAGGAAACAAATCCCGATTATCTGAAATACTCTGTAAAATACGTTTTAACATGTCCATGTTGTGGTAGACAAAGCTCTTTTCTCTTCTGCTGCAGTCTATAATCTCGAAGCCTATGTCTTCCAGCATCAGTCTCAAGGTTGCCTGGGAGTCCTCGCACCGGTGGAAAAAAGGCACGAAGTGACTTAGATCCTGAAATCAGAATGATTTCTGTGACGTAACACGAAATGTCGAGATCATTTAGTAGAATGTTAATTAATAGACGTGTTACCTGCATGTACACCTTGTACTTAGGGTTCTCGTAGACCTTCACGTAGGCATCGAAACCGTTGTTCCAAGCCAGGAACATAACCAGAGCTTTCCCGTCTGGTTGCAGTAATTTGTAAATATTATCGAAAGCTTGCCTAAATCGGACAAACGTGAAATGTGTTTTTACGTGCGTGATAGAATAGTTGCGTGGAAAACGTGAGGGTTGAACAGTACCGAGGGTTTTCACACCAGTGGATGCAATAAAAGGATAATACGTTGCTATACAGTTCCAGTTCGTCCTCGGGTAAAATCGAAGCCTCGATGTCCAGTTCTATAAACGACAAACGTTCCTCGTTCTGGTACTTCTCTCTCGCGTGATCGATCATCTCTTTCGATATGTCCGCTCCTACAAACATTTACGAACGATGTCTTACGAATCGTTCCTTCGATCGTTCTTCTCCCCTCGTTCTCTTACCGACTAGTTCAGCGTCTGGTGACAATTTTGGCAGGATCAATTCCTTGGAAACGTCTCCTGGCCCGCAACCGATGTCGATGCACCTCCCTTTCATCTCGGACATCTCTTTCTTGAATTCCTCGACAAAGTCTAACGCGTCGCGATATTGGGACGTGCTCGAGTTCACGTATTCCTCTGCCGACTCCATATCGATCTGATTTCTTTTATTCTTTTTTATCTTCCTAACGATACACGTATAAATTTGTAAAAGAACGTAGCTCGAGTGTCGCGCGGTGACGATTACGCGAAATCTTCAAGATATATACGTCTGGATTGGCGAAAATGGCTTCGATGTTTCAGAAGGAAGCGTGTATATATGAATTCGACATACTGTCAGATCTTCTACTGGTGACTTTTCAACCTGACTTTGGTATTTATATTCGGTGAGTCATGCAAACACTTCCCCCATTTTTTCATTTTTCTTTTTCTTTTCTTTGCCCTTCCATCGTCCTCTTGTCTCTCCCATCCTGTCCGCGCCTACCTCAATATTCGAATTCTTCGTCCATTTTGTTATCAGAAGATCGTGATCACGTTTGGAAGTTCAACGGTCAACTTTGGAACGATTTAGGATCGGATGCATGTCCGTTTAATAGTTTCGACGACCTGCTGGCTCTATCGTTTGACCCGTAGATCGTTATCGTGGTCTTTCACGAGGTTCGACGATTGTATTCTTTCACGATTCTACCTACGATTCCGTAAACGTTGTCGATATTTTTGTCAACTTGATCCTCGCTTATGAATTATTAATTTATCGAGTATTGAAGAGAGTTTTCTCGATCGAAGAAAGATTCGAAATCGTTGAATTGATTTATATTAATCATACTATTTCTGTGATATCGATAACGAGATCTATGGCAGAATGTTCACCGTGCATTTAGAACGTCGAAATTTGATAGGGTAGGTCTCGAAGCTACTTTGCATGAGTGATGAAGTGTTGTTCCAAGACAAAAAGGGGAAACTACACGCAGCCGATTTGTTCGGGTGGTTCACCTATAGATTCAGTATCGTCTGATTTTTACCGAATATTCACAAGTGGCCAAATTCGAACTACAGTTTGATATGTATTCTAGTAAATATTTACCTGACTGCTCTTTACCTTTCTCGATCATTAACCGATCGTTAACCCTAAGAAGGTCGCGATTGGCTTGGCAGCTAACGATAGACAGAGATTTCTTTTATAAATATTTTGAAATAGAAATATTTCTAGAAATGTTTTTTTTTCTTTTGTGACTCTTGAAATTTGTCCTGTGGACATACGGCAAGACGTTTTAATTGGGTGACATGAGGGTGTTTTCCCGATCGTTAACCCTAAGAAGGTCGCGATTGGCATGGCAGCTAACGATAGATAGAGATTTCTTTTATAAATATTTTGAAATAGAAATATTGTTTCTTTTTTGGGACTCTTGAAATTTGTCCTGTGGACATACGGCAAGACGTTTTAATTAGGTGACATGAGGGTATTTTCCCGATCATTAACCGATCGTTAACCCTAAGAAGGTCGCGATTGGCAGCTAACGATAGACAGAGATTTCTTTTATAAATATTTTGAAATAGAAATATTGTTTTTTCTTCTTTTGTGACTCTTGAAATTTGTCCTGTGGACATACGGCAAGACGTTTTAATTAGGTGACATGAGGGTATTTTCCCGGTCATTAACCGATCGTTAACCCTAAGAAGATCGCGATTGGCTTGGCAGCTAACGATAGACAGAGATTTCTTTTATAAATATTTTGAAATAGAAATATTGTTTTCTTTTGTGACTCTTGAAATTTATCCTGTGGACATTAGGCGACAACGTTTTAATTGTGTGGGTGACACGAGGGTGCTAATCCCATTGGATTAACACTTTTGCAGAAATTTTGTTTATATCTGAGTTTGCGTCAGCAAGTCCATGTTTCTTCCTTAGTCTTCTAGTTGCCCCGGTGGTGTACAGAGTTTTAGGTGGTTTGTTCTCCGTGCTTTTATATCTGCCTGTGTGGAGTTGAATTTCTCCCTCGACAGAAGAAATTTCTAGATCTTATCGTAACTCTTCGTTTCTGATATACCAAAGTGCATTTGTTACCATTCTTAGTATTTTTGATTGCATAGCCTCCATTTCAGCTATATGACTTTTTGCTGCTGTATCCCTCCATAGTTGGATGCCACATGTTGGATGTCCATGTACGTTTAATTATGACATTGTAGATCAGCAGTTTGTTTTCAATACTTAATTTAGATAGTCTGCTTGTTAGCCGGTACATGTCCTTCCTTTTGATTCTAATTTGGTTTATTTGTTTACGTATGTGTTGTGCCCACGTTAATTTTGAATCAAGGTATAATCCTAGGTATTCAATTACTTTTGTTCGTGGCATTTGCTTTGAATTGAAGTATTTGCTTCGCGAAGAATGAAAGTAATGTGGTTGCATTTATTATAGTTGACCTTTATTCCACGTTCATTTAACCATTTTTTCTAATAAGTATATTTTTTCTAATACGGTTTTGTAGGATATTAGCTGCTTCTTCTGGGCATTCGTTGCTATTATATACAAGTTATACACATCAGATATTCCAAGCACATCAACTAGTGCAATATATAGAAATATTGTAGAATTTTCTCACGAACAGTGGGCCATTTCAGAATATAAATCTTCAAATATCGATGTGCTTTTCGGATTGTTATCCACCATAGATCACGGCTTTCAGTTAGGGATAGTCATAGTTAAGAAATTGAAAGTGTTTATTCGTAGCGCAAACGTGTTTTTCACACGATTAAAAGCCGCCCTCGTTATACTCGATGATGATGGTTCCCAGCGTGTATTCTCGTTTCGCTACCGTATGCCGTATTTATCGCGCGCGTGTCGCTGTTATTTTTATAGTCCGGTTGCCGCGATCCTGCGCCCTTTCTCTCCGCGGAGCGTAATTAATAAATTAAACTGGAGCGACGTTTCTTCTGATCGATCATAGGGATTCAGCGCTTATCTTTCACTTGCCACGTATTTGCATTCTCGGACGCTGTAGCCCGGTATTTGCATATGCCTGGACCCTGAACATAATCCCATCACGAAGGCTAGGGCATCCATATTCTATATTTCATTTAGGAATTTGTTGCGCTTGGACTATTTTGCGTCGATCTATATTTTGTCAAAAAAAAAAGAAAAAAAAATTTAAGAACCAAGCTTCAAACTTATTTATACGCTTATTGTATAGTGATTCGACACGCTAAACATTTTCTAGATTATTCAGATGGTTTATGCCTTCTCTGGCCACGCGAAAAGTTTATTGCCTTGTTTCATAACTCATTTGCTCTTCTTTTGTTCTGTCAACGAGTCCTCTTTCGTTCATCGCGTTTTATCGAAGGTGTTTTTACACATGCGCTTGTCAAAATCGGTAATCGCTAACCCGCGAGTCTGTTTCGATCGCTGGTTTTGAAAAAGTCGACGTTGATTCTTCGGTCAATCAACTTTTCAGATAGTTGAAAACAATTGGCTAGAGCCGGCTAGCCAACTCACGGGTTAGAAATTTCGATTCTGTAGATTGTAGACTATTCTGTCGACTATGCTGTAAGTGATTGTGTAGATTCTCACTTACAAGCATAATTCTCTCAAAGTATGACCCAAGTATGACACTCTAAGCAGTGAACAATTAATTAACTGCAAGTAAAGACGAAAGTTTAGTAAATTACTGTCAGTGAATTATTATCACAACGCACAATTTTTCTAACACCCATTATTTCGATACTCGAACGCACAACAGTATGATCACATGAGCCTTGAACAAGATCAACATAGAATAAATTATAGTCAAACGAATTATGAATGGAAATTTTGTAATATGACTTGTTCGTCGTGATAAAAAATGTTCTTTCTTCTTTTTCTGTGTTCAATTTTTCTGTTTCATTGCGTAGAACGAGAACGATGTCGATTGTGCAGAATCGAAAAAAATATTTATTGTATGTACTATATATAATTATATAATATATTGTTTATTGTTAATTTAGTTGCAAATGCATTTGAACTGTCAAAATCGAGAATTCTTTCCCAACGATCTACGGTAAAATTATATAACTATAGTTGAAATATCTACTAAAGCGAGCAACTCTCTTGTAAGATTTTCACAGTTTTGTAAGATTTTAGATTAATATTGTTTACTGCTGTGTATATTGTTTACATGATAATATAATTGAAAATAAAATTGAAAGTATCAGACAACATTTGTGTAGCTCGATATGGAAGTTTATTGTAGTTTTAAATAAATTTTCCACTCAAACAGTCTGAAACTATAAAGCGAGTTTACAATTAGTGAATATTTCAGTCATTTAAACAAGAACCAAATAATATCCTTTTACGTATTTGATTCTCACAGTAATCTCAAATAATGCAACAATAATGGATGCAGGTTTTAGCACTGTACGTAATTAAGAAACGCCATTTCCTACAAGAAATATTCTCCTCTCTGAGAGGTAGCCGTTGTGAGTTGATTCGCGACTCCAGCCGTTGTTTACTCTCCTCGTCGAGCTCTCTTCTTTCTGTACGTAGCATACAAACCAACGCGATACATGGCCGCGTCTCTTTCGTCGGAGCCAACAAAAGCTCGTGACGCGTACCTAGCTTTCGGACTTTATGTAACCTCGGCAGCTGCGGGATAAGAGCAAGAGCAAGAGAAGAGAATCGTCGTTTCCTCGAGATTTCGCTCGTCTCGAAATCCTACTCGCGATGGAAAACCACGCGTTGGAATATGAAGATCGAAGGATAGGCAGACAGAGAGACGGAAATGGGAGAGAATAATGTTACAGTAGCAGCAAGCTTGAGAGTATGCGAGATAGAACAAGACGTAGATCAAGGTAGAAAAGGAAGATGGATGCGAAACCCACGAGGCAATGATAGATAGAGACCGCCTCTTGCTCGCGACCTCCCTCACCTTTTCTTTCAAAGTATTCCATCGATACCGTACTACCACTCCGTTACGTAAGATTCGAGGATTTTCTCATCTTCCGTGGAAGAAACGTTTTTCCTTTCCAGGAGGACGAGTGCAGGAGAGGAAGGATGAAGAAGGAAAAACGTTACTCCTTTTTTCCTCCCGTATCCTTTCCTCCTCCCCGCGGCCGTCTCGTCTCTTTGCCTAAATCCTCGTCTAGGTATTTCGCGTGTATCGAATGAAGGAGACGGCGCGGGAGAGAACGAAGGGCTTTGATAAATGACTGACGTGGAAAAAAATTCGTGTCGATACGTCTTGCTGCGCGGAGATGCGCGCTCGTGGGTGGCGAAAGAGGAAGAGAGGACAGCTGGACGAAGAACAGATTTCAAGCCGAGCTACATTTCCGATTTCGTGTCAAATTTTCATCGATTTTATCAAATAGGAAACAAGAACGGTACAATCGTATCTGACAACTGACAGAGATCCGACGAATCTCGTGGGAAACGAT